AATTAATTAATTAATTAATTAATTAATTAATTAATTGATTGATTGATTGATTAATTGATTAATTAATTAATTCCTCTGTTAGTTGTTGCCACATAGGGCCAGAACCTGGAAGTAATGACATGGAAATAACTAGTTATTTATATTCCACATTTTCCCTAGTAATGAAGGTGTAACTACCTTGCATTGGCTGAGATCCAGTAGTTAAGTCACGACTAGAGTAGGCCCACTGAATCAGTAGGGATTTGTTGAGTCAACATCTGTATAAATTCCACTTATTTGTTGCATGAACTCTTGTAGCTTATTACCAGATTTCAGCCATTATAATTGTGACTTAGCAAGAGATAGCTCCACTTCTTTTGTGACTTAATTGTAATTTTAAAGTTAACTTTCAAGTATAGGGTATATAAGGAGAAATACATGAACCAAGTGCTAGTGTGTGGTGTGATGTGTGCTGCTACTCATGTTGAAAGTATTGAGGCAGCCATGAACTACGTGGGAACTAAGTGTGTTAATGACCATAGGTCCATGGGTTGTAGCCCTCAAGAATGTTTTTAAAAGAAGGGAACTAGTTATTAGTTACCACAAGCATAAATATTTTTTAAAACTCTCCAAAAATTAATAACTAGAATTAAATTTCAAAAGTTCACAGTTATAATTAATTATAACTACTGTATAATATTAGCAGAGGAGTGGCTCCATAACTTTGTAGTTAATTTATTTTCAAATGTGAATTCTCAAGCTCTGGAAAAGTCAAGCTTTTTGAAAAGTCAGGCTTGAACAAAACAAGAAAATAATAGAGCAGGAGAGTCTAAACATATTGACAGTCTGCACAGTCCCAGAGTATCACTGGAAAGGTGCTAGTAAACCACTCTACTGAGAAAAAGTTGCAAGGGTTGCCATAAGATGGCATTGACTTGACAACACATTGTACAGCATTATTATGTCCCATTGCAGATGCTGCGTCCTTGGTCTCAGAGTAGATTCACAGAGAATTGCATTCACATTGGAAGAGATAAGAGACCCTTTGAATTTTGGTAGTTGTTCTTAGGTACTGTCAGGTCACTTTGGGCAACTTTAATAGGGTTTTCAAAATACCCGTGTTTCCCTGAAAATAGGACAGGATCTTATATTAATTTTTGCTCCAAAAATGCATTAGGGCTTTCAGGGGATGTTTTAATTTTTTTCATGTACAACCATCTACATTTATTCAAATTACAATCATGTCATATTCTGGTTGCTGCACAATGGAGGAGGGTGGGGTTTCACTTAACTGGGGCTTATTTTTGGGGTAGGGCTTATATTACAAGCATCCTGAAAAATCATACTAGGGCTTATTTTCAGTTTAGGTCTTATTTTTGGGGAAACAAGTTATATGAGGGCTTTACCACTGTCACATCCGCCCCCAGTGAGTTTTCAAGGCTGAGTAGGGATTTGAAGCCAACTCCCCTGAGGCCTAGTCTTGACACTCCACCCACCACGACACAGTGGCTCTTAAGACCACGGCTACTACCTGAATGAGCTTTCTCTAGACAGTACTACCAGTGTAGACATTTGAGCTGGCAGCTGTGACACTGCATTTCCTTTTGATAGAAACTCCTCTTCCACTGCTTTGTTAAATGAGATTGAAACTTTGTCTAAGAACTTTGCATAAGAAGCCTTAGCACTCTGAAGGATTTGGTGGTCCAAAGAAATCTGTTGCACTATCCAGGTTTACCTTTGAGTTTCAGATATCAAAGCTGTCATGGGTGCTAATCTGACACAAACACAATTTTTTTTTATAAAGCACAGAGGTAGCAATACGTGGTTTCTGTGTTGTTTTTAATGTGTTACACTGTTATTTTCATAGTGTATTTATCAAAACAATGGAGGCAGAAGCACTCGGGTGGGGTACATTGGACAGAGATACATGCTCCCCAATTCTGGATTGAACGGGCACTTAGTTTTCTTTCTCAGAAGAAGCCTGCCAGGGATGAGGGAGAGAAGAGTCCCATACCGACAGGAGACTTAATGGAAGCCAATGGCAAACACTGTTCCTAAAGAGCCACACTGTGCTAACATCAGTGTATACAGTTTTTCTGGGAGAGTAACACAGAGCAAGGATGAGATCTGTGAAGCCATGCCCCTTGCATGTTGAAAAGCAGCATGCTCCGGCTTTCTTTTGAAAGTTCCTCAGACGCAAGCACTTTTATGTATCCGGGCTCATTCTACCACGGGATCTCCTGCCCTACAACGTGAAGGAAGGCCACCTAACACCCTTAGCTTCTTATACAATTTGCTTTCTAAAATTCAGGCTCTCATTGCTTTAAACTAGCTGAGGACCCCGTGAGTTTCCAGATGTAGTTCTGTCAGCCCTAGCTAGCACAGGCTAGGCTGGAAAATCACAAAGTTCCCAGGCTTGCCTTTATAGAGGAAACTGACTTTCCCCAAAAGTGCACTCCCATATTAAGAGGGTCTATTTCGGGATCAGACCAATGAGGACAAGGGGAGGGAGGGCTCTCCAGACGTCAATAATCAGCGCAACGCTGTCCACCTTCAGTGTGACGTCCGCGCCGCGCTGAAGTCTGGGTACTTCTGAGCGTCGCCTTGACAGTTTCACGGGAAAGAAGCGCCTGTGGTGTGATTGGCGGGCGAGCCAGCCTGTTGAGGCGTGTCCTACAAGAGGAGGCGGGCGGGAGGCTTCGCAATACCCAATTGGAGCAGAGAGTCGAAGCGAGTCGCCGCGTCGTTGGTCGAGGGCTGAGTTCGGGGTCCCGCTTTCGAGGGAAGGCTGTTGTGGTCTCTGTGATTCCGGGTTCCGGTGGTCCAAAGTTGCGGGGATCCCCTCCCCTTCCCAGCCCTTTCTGGCCTCCGGTTTAAGGGGTGGGGCCAGGAAAATGAATTTGGTGTCGAGGTTGGTACGGACGCGAACTTTTGGGTTTGGGTGTGTTTTTATTATTAGCTGCCTTTATAACGATGAGGTCCTTAAGGCAGCCGACAAGACAGTATCAACAGCCAGTCGTACAGTGCCCTATATAGTTAGGAGAAGTCGAACGGATGGAGGGACATACCCAGTGGTACTGCCAGGGCTGGATGGTGGGCTCAAAGTCCAGGGACTGGCTCAGCAAAAACTTTTGGGTTTGGGTGTGTTTTTATTATTAGCTGCCTTTATAACGATGAGGTCCTTAAGGCAGCCGACAAGACAGTATCAACAGCCAGTCGTACAGTGCCCTATATAGTTAGGAGAAGTCGAACGGATGGAGGGACATACCCAGTGGTACTGCCAGGGCTGGATGGTGGGCTCAAAGTCCAGGGACTGGCTCAGCAAAATCACCAGGAGGGCCCCCCAAACACAGCCAGGCTGCTTCCTTGTCGCTTGAACACATGCTGCCCGTTAACTAGTGGTTCCCTTACCATCGCAAATCTAAGATTGAAAACCAAGCTGATAGGTATTTTCTTCAAGGTCTCAAGAGATATGTCAGAAGGCGAACACGGGAGACAATTTATACAAACTCTGTGGTTTATTGTGCCAGGTTGAAGATTATTACTGAGGTTATTTGCTAATTGTAGGCTGGGGATGCCACATCCTTTCCCAACACTATCTGAACATAGCCAGATATTTCCCCTAGGCCTTTCTATATAAAAGGCCTAGGGGAGATATCTGGCTATTTTCAGATAGTGTTGGGAAAGGATGTTGCTTGAAATCCTGGCTAGATAACATTATTCTAAAAATTAATTCATGAATTACAGTGATTTTAACAAATACAAGTGTTCATTTAACTTAATATTTTCCCTGTTTATTGGCATATTTAGCTTTGGTATAAAAACTCTGAAATATATTAACTTAAAGAACGATTATGTTTTGGTAAGACCACCATCATCCAAAACGTATAAAAATAACTAACATTTTTAGTGTCAAATTTGTCATCTTGTAACAATAGTGCAGTCAACACCACTGCCGCTTAGAGATGTGGGAGGGGAGATAACACAAGCTCAAGATTAAAACAGAAAACACACATGAAAAGAGAAAATGGAAAGGACAGTAGTCGGTGGCAAAGCAAGCCCTAAATCCATTTGCTAGATCCAGTTAGAGTAGGCCCATTGAATCAGTTGCTGAATTCTAAATCAACACTTACATAAGTTTGATGTGCTAAGGACCAACAGTTGAATGTGGGCCTTGGTATACTGTATATTACTAAATCATGAAAATCTCTGTCCCTAGTAAATTTTCAAATAATTGTACTACTCCTATAAATTTTAATGAAATCCACATAGTAGATGAAAGCAACTGAGGTGTTACTTTTTCAGTTTTTTTAACTGTGCAAAATAATACAGTACTTGTTCCCTAAGAAGGAGATGACAGTGATTTAAAGCATTTGTTTATCACTTTTCTGCTCAAGAGAGGTTCAAAGTGATTTGGAGTAGAGTAATATTAAAAACAGATTAACATCACTTAAAAATCACTTAAGAACATTCTTGCCTGCAAACACTTGGTGCTTTCTATAATGAATTGTGTGTTTTTCTTCTTTATGTTTCAGAGCAGAGTTTTCTGTTGAGAAAACCAAGAGAAAGAAAAGAAGAGAATTAACTGAAGAACAGAAGCAAGAGATAAAAGATGCTTTTGAGTTGTTTGACACAGATAAAGACAAAGCAATAGATTATCATGAACTAAAGGCAATTATTTTTCTTAAATTTTGTTTTGTAATAGCATTTTAAAAACGTCAGTCAAAAATAATAAGCTCAACATTAAGATATGCTGAATTATGCATAGTGCCTGTAGTTCTGTAGTGATTTAAAGCTGGCAATCATACGTGAAGGTGTTGTTATTACATATACCATATTTTTCCATATATAAGACACTACTTTTTCCTAAAATCATTACACTAACAATTGAGGGGCATCTTATACACAAGTAAGCTGAGGAGAGAACAAAATGGCCCATGCTTTGCCTGTAAACAGGCTTCCTTCAGTCATGAGGCTTAGCTTCCTACAGTCAGGAGACTTTGTTGTTTAGTCGTTAAGTTGTGCCCTACTCTTTGTGACCCCTTGGAGCAGAACATGCCAGACCCTCCTGTCTTCCACTGCCTCCTGGAGTTTGATCAAATCCATGTTGGTAGCTTTGATGACACTGTCCAACCATCTCCTCCTAAGTCAGGAGACTTGGCTTCCTCCAATTACGAGCCTTATGGAACTGACGTCAGCTGATGCTGAACAAACCAACTGGAACACACCTCATTGGAGGTGGAGCCTGTAGGCTCAGATGCAACAAGGACTTGTAATGTCCAAGTGTTCTGAGCCCGGAGGCTGAATACTCAAAACTAAGTTTTCTTAATTTTTGAGTTAGTAAAGGGGAGGTTGTGTCATAAACGGGGTCATCTTATAAACAGAAAAATATGGTATAGGTATGTTTGTTAAACAAGTTTATGCTAGCAGACATAGTACATGCTACAAAGAACATGGACAGACATAGCAAATACCTGCTTCTACCTCATAAGGGAAGAGTAAGAAAACTTTTTCTCTGTTGAGGGCCACATATCCTTGAAGGTTGCATACTAAACTCCACACTTTCAAGGTCCTCCTCCATTTCTCTATTCAGGAATCACAGGACAGAGAAAAAATGGTGATGGCAACAAGTGGTGGTGGTTTTTAAAACCCCACACACCTATTAGACTTACCTCTCATAGGCGCGTTACCTAATCCATTCTCTCTCCCCACTCTGCTCTTTCTTTCTCTTCCCCTACTGTGGTTTGTGCAACCAACAATCTCTCAGTCAAGAAGAAAAAAAAATATAGGCACATGCCGATGAAAGCTTGGTGATTAATTTCAGAACACAGCAATTATGTCTCCTTTAGAAGGACATCACACCGCTTCATCTCCAAGTTCACAGTGCACATGCCTATTTCTTCCATAAAATAAAGCTCAGCTCCTAATCTTGTTTTTGTGGAAGCAGTAGCAACTGCTGTAGGAGGAAATTGGCAGCATTAAGGATTGCGTAAAAGAAGGCTGAAAGTTGCATGTGGGCATTCAGTTGGGAGTACAGTAGCACAATAGCCCTTGGCCAGCCAATTTACAGTATAAGGAGCACCTATCCCATGCCCTCTCTGCCATTGCTTTGTACACTTAGGAAGTGACACCTTTGTAGAGATGCTCCTACTTTTGCATAGCCTCTGCACTCCCAGTTTTCCAGGATGGGACACGGATTTGTGGTATATGTGCAGTGAATAAAGACAACTGGTTGTTGTAAGCTGACAGTGCATTTAGTGTCATAACATGTATTTCTTGACTTGTTAGAGGGAATAGTTATAGTTTTCAAATAATTTGTTGAATGGGGAAAGTAGAATATCCTCCCTATAAGATAGGTCAGTATCATTCCATATTATGGAAAAGAATAAGATTTAAGAGAATGTGGCCCTTATGTACTAAAATTAATCATGAATTGAATTGTTTATCATGCTGTAGCCCCCTAACTGCATCAGCTCTTATGTTCAAGTGTTTAAAATTTGGCATTTCTGCTTGTATGAAGCAGCTCAAAGGCTGAAGCATTTAAATTAAATATTGAACAGATCGTCTTTGTGTGTGTTCAGCCTTGGGTGCTCAGATTCGCATATATATGTATGCTAGAGAGGACTGTGAATCTAAAATGAAAAAAATCAGTGATTTCTGGCATTATACGCTAATGCTTTAGCCTCTGTTTGTAAGGAATTATTGACAGCTACTGGGTGAACTTCAGTTCCACTTATTAACATTCGGTGTATCTTGCTTTCAGTGGTACTTGTGAAATACAATCCCTTAGTGTGAGACTTGGATGCAGCTTACTCCCATGGATGTGCGTGGGACTGTAGCCATAATGTAATATGCACTCTAATTTTCAAGGAGTCATACTGCCACATTTTACACTGGGTTTGTTCAGCAGCTTAAGTGGGAAATTCATATAGTTATCAACTCCACTGTTCCTTCCATACCATTTTTTACTCTTTTCCAACAAATATTCTAGAGTAGAAACGGTTGTTTGTCTTCTGTCTACGACATTTAATTGTAAAATTGCTAAAGTTATTTTTATTGTCTCTGTCAAATGTAGATTATTTTAAAGTAGTATGTTTAAAGATGTAGAATTGTAGATCTCTCTTTCCCACTTTTTTCAGACACAACACATCAAGAGATTGATAGTTTATAAACATAACATGGCTGGTTAACTGTCAGCCTTTGGGTGCATCTGACTCTCTCCACTTATCCTCTCAGTAGCAGGGGAAGAAGAATGTGAGTTTCATACCACAGATCTCAAGCAGTATCAGCCAGGAAACAGAATTGACAAGACCAAAAGGAGCATGAGAATTGAACTTGTTTTGGACCCCCCCCCCCAACCTTCACCTGGAAAACGTAAACTGGCTCCATTGTCATCACAGGGCTGCTAGGACTATCTCCAGTTCCCAAAGTGGCATGATGTGGGCTGCTTCTGGATCAGTCTCCCCCTCTGACAGAATGATGATGGGTTATCCAGAAAAAATGTGTGGAGTGCTGCTTTGCACACCTGCTGGTTACACTGCCCTTCCTGCTCCACCTGCTGGTTACACTGCCCTTCCTGCTCAGAGAAGGAAGATGATAGATGCAGTTATTTATTTGATATTTTTTATAAATCACCTTTGGCAAAATGCAAAATTTAGTTAGAAATTGCAGTACAAATTAATTGTGAAATTAAAACTGGAGACAAAATTTGTTGCAACAAATGCTGAAGGTGGCACTATAAAACATTGTTCAGAGATTAACAAAACAATTTCGTCCTTGCTGGTGATCTAAAAGATGACAAAATCAGTTCTACCCCTTGCTACTGCTAAGCTCATGAAGATGTATGGTCATTCCCCCCCCCACACGCACACACACCATCATTTGGAGAGCATCTGGCTATGGATGCAGAATGTAGTGGCTATATATGGTATACAGCATTAGGGTCCTTTTCTGTAGCTTTCTTTTGATCATTTTGGGACTTTTTTGGTTTTGTTTTTAACTAAAATTCCTCTTTTGTTTTCCAGGAAATGTGGCAGATACCTGAAAAATGTCAAACAATTTTAGGTCTTGTCGTTAAGGCATTACACATTTGCTTGTTGATTTAATACTTTGAAAATTCCCATGTAGATAGAAATACTATTGATCAACATGAACCTGCTGTTACCATCCTGGTGGTAGATCGCCTGAACTATCCAAAATAAATGTTTTTGCTAATTTTGCATTAGTGTATGATGAGGTGACCCTCTTTTACTACAATTTAAATGGTTATGTTTGTTTCTTTAAAAAAATATAATGGTCTTTTTTTAGATGACACTTTTTTCATATCTTTCCCCTTACTATTTGAAGACATCTTTATTCAGTGTAATTTGCATGAAAAGGAACATAATTCTACTAATGTGCTGAACCTAAAATGTTGTATTTCTATCTTTTTCCAAAAGGTGGCAATGAGAGCGCTAGGTTTTGATGTAAAAAAAGCAGATGTACTAAAGATACTTAAAGATTATGATCGGGAAGGAAGTGGGAAAATCACCTTTGAAGATTTTAATGAAGTTGGTAGGTATTTTATTTTAAACATTATTGACAAGAAAGTTGACAGCAATATGTAACTAGAAATGAAATTAGTCTTTTAATTGACAGATATACACATATCTTGTGGAAGACACAGACAAGCCATTTTTTAGTATCTAAGTGTATTGGAGGTTTTCATGATGAGATTGGGCAGCCATCTGTTCGAGATGGTATGAGGTCTGCCTTGGGCAGGGGTTGGACTAGAAGATCTTCAAGGTCCCTTCCAACCGTATGATGATTCTGATTCTATGGTTTTCATAAAAAGACATAAAAGCCACCTAAGGCAATCAGAATTTAGCCACCAACTTTTGGAATATAGGCTGCATTTCTTCTGTTTTCTCCATCCCTTTCTATCAGTATAAATATGAAAGTGAAACAAAAGGAATAAGAATATTCCTTTTGTATTTCATTATTGTTTTTTCTGTCTTTTTTAAAATGCTTTTTAGAAATCATTTTATTCTTTCCTTAATTTAGAAACTCATCTTAATAGGGAAAAGTAATTATGCTTCTGTGACAGTTTGGTGTTCAAATATTCTGCAGTTGTGTGCAGAATATATCTCCAATGTTTTCTATTGCAATAGAATGAGCAAAAGATAGTGAATTTTTTGCAAAGCTGATCTGCTCCCCTACTGGGTTTATTGTTAGCAATGCAGTGTTCCACATATGGAGTGCAAATTCATATATATGTATAACAGACTTCTTTTGAGCAAATGGCGAAGGCAAACTGTTTAAATTATTTTAGTTAGAAAGCTGAAGGGTGGCAACAAAATAGAGACATTTTCATGCTGAAAAAAATTATAAGGACAAATATCCCTATATTAAAGACTAGATTTCACATTTTTTCATTTTAGTGACAGACTGGATACTTGACAGAGATCCACATGAAGAAATACTCAAGGCATTTAAATTGTTTGATGATGACGATTCAGGTAAAATAAGCTTAAGAAACCTTCGCCGTGTAGCTAGAGAACTCGGAGAGAACATGACTGATGAAGAACTTCGGGCAATGATTGAAGAATTTGATAAAGATGGTGATGGAGAAAGTAAGTTCTAATCTTGAATTTGGCAAAAAATAGTGCATTAACTTACTGTCCTTATAGTTATTTTACACTCAGTTAAGTGACAGAATTACCAGTTTGAAAACTGATTCCCATAAATTATGGATCTGGAAATGGTTTCAAATTTCTTTGATACTCAAATATGAATTTATATGATGTGTTATACAGGAAAACGTGAAATCATTTATCCTTTCTGTTACTTTATCATAAGTAATGGCTAAATAAAGTCAGATGAATTGTTCGTTACTTTGCTGAAGCAAGAAATTAATTAAGAAATGAACAGCTATTCTATGTTGAATATTCTGTTCTATTTGTTTAAATAAATGGCAATAAATGAAAGCATATATTTAGTTTTAGAAGACGAGTCAGAGGAGCTGGATGTAATGGTAGGCGCCTGCTTTTAATGAAACATAGAATGAAATGAAACCAACAGTCTTTATTTTTTACCAGAAAACAGTTAAGAGTTTGTTTCAGTAAGGCTAAGCTAATTTGATTTCTTATTGCTTAGAGGATTGAATACCAAGTTAATCTCTTACAAAGGTGCGTTTCTGCAGCTTTTCAGAGTGAACTTTCAAAGTGAATACAATATTTCTGAGAGCAAATGCCAATATTTAGTTTCCCTGAAACTTCAGAGACTACGAACTTGATTGAGAAAAGCTTTAAGTAAGATAAATGCTACATAATTAACTTTTGCCTTTTTTTTTCAGTCAATCAGGAAGAGTTTATTGCTATCATGACTGGAGATGTTTAACCTTACAAGAAAAGAAGTGAACTTGGCACAAAAAAGGAAGGATTATTGGCTTTCAGCAATGAAGCTGCCACCTTTCTGTTTCAGTTAATTTGTGTAGCAGGAACCATGCAAAAATTATTATTCCTCGAAGGACCAAAAGAAACAGAAAAGATATGTATTCAGAGGTTGATATTTTATATCATTAAATTTTAGAATAACAGTGTTATGTTTGAGTACTCATTTGTAAAATAGCTTTGTATAAGAATTTTAAATTAAATCATAGTATAAAACCTTTTGAAGTGGACATTATTTTAGCATTAGCTGTGGCCTTAGTTTTTATATAAGAGTTTAAAGACATCCATTTTAATAAAGTCTTCTTTTTATATACTACAAGCCTTGTTGGAGTGTTTAATCCCAAATTAATTGTGAGTTCGCTTAATTTTTTAAAAATGACATTTTTGATTATGCTTCTGTTTAGAGATGGGGATATTCATATTTGTTTATTAATACCCCTGTCCCAGCTGCATCTAATGCAAGTCGGGCCCTTGGAACCCACCCATCCATTCACACATTGCTGTACCACCAGCGTCCAGCTCTTCCCACCAATTGTGAAAATAGTTGCTCTGTCTCCCTGCTTGGCTGGCCACTCGTCATCCAGCCCCTTGCCTGCAGTGGCCAGCCGAGCAGGGAGATGGTGGAGCTACTTATGTGATTGGTGGGAAGATTGGATGCTGATGGTGCGGCAGCACATGAGCAGAAAGGGCCAGTTCCAAGGGCCAGACCCATATTAGTTGCAGCTAGGATGGGGATATTTGCATTTGTAAATGAATATGAATATCTTCATCTCTACTTCTATTGTAAAGTAGTACTATGCAGTATATTTTCACCATTATAAGACAAACAAAATCTGATGTATACATTCCTTGGACTGTGGTGCTTCTGACACACAAAAAGAATTTATTTTAGACTTCTAGTAGGAGCCTTTGTGCAGAGGTTAAACTGCAGTACTGCAGTGAAGACTCTTCACAGTTTGAATCTGACCCTGGGCTCAGGTAGCCAGCTGGAAGTTGACTCAACTTTTCATCCTTCTGATAGAGTACGCTGCTCGTTGGGGGGACAATGTGTAGCCTGCATAATTAAAATTTTAAACTGCCCAGAGAGTGCTTAAATGCTATAGGGTGGTATATAGGCAGTGTGCTTTGCTTGGCTTTTCCTATTACATTGAATTCATAACCCATGTGTTCTCCAGAGAGCTGAAGGCAGCACAAATTCTCCACATTTAATCTTCCTAACAATCCTATGGAAGCTAGGCGGAGAGTGACTGGTGCAAGTTCACTCAGTGAGTTTCATGACGGAGAGTACATTTAAATCTGGATCTGGTCCTACTTCAGCACTTCTAACTACATTACTAAATTGAACCAGCAGGTGCTTGTTTCTTCTCTGGAGGTTGATAATGTTGAGCACAGTTTTATCAAAGAGTATATAAATATTTTATAATCTGCTTAATATTTAATGCGTATTGGTAACATACTCTGCTATAGAACAGAAACACAAGAACAGGGTCCACATAAGAATCAAGTCACAATAACTGAATATGTGAAAGTCTAGAACTGTTTCCTAAGAGATTATTGTATTGACACCAGATTCATTTTCCTTACAAATATAAAGAGGTGCAGAACACAAAATTCAGCTGGCAATTTACCTGGATCCAAGTTATGATAGGTGCCAGCTATGGCAGCACATTATCTCTCTGAAACAACTTAGGACACATAGAGGTGGAGATGACTCATCTCTTCAGTTAACTGAGCTGAGATCAGTGTACCAAGAAGTGGAGGTCCCTTTTGTTGTCTTGGTTAAAGAAAACCTGATTGCCCTGGTGGTAGGGCAGGTGCACTGTAAATGAGTATCCAAATAAATTAGCTGAGCAGAGGAGATTTCTTTGTATCCTGGGAACTTCAAGATTCCTGTCTGGTGTTCAGAGTTGCTCTGCTCAAATGACATGTGTCCTCCAGCAAAACGATTAAAGAGTGTTGCTCAGAGTTCCAGAAACCAGAAATGACAAACATTGTCAGTCAAATAGGTACAGGTCTCCTTTATGGTTTCCTGTCCTCTCACTTCATGTAGGGTCTTCACAAGTTCCACAGGTCCAGCGGGCTGATGGCCCTCATCAAGTCTGGAGAGTCTGGGTTTGGGAGGTGATGGACATCAGCTGGAGCCTTCTTTGGAGGTTTCAAATGTCTAGATCTCAGAAGTTTGTTGTGATTCACTTCTAGTCTGTCAGGAGGTTGATGGCACCATTCGTAGCTGAAGGTTTCTGGAAGTTGGCATGACTACTCTAGCTTTCCACAAGGCCTCCACCTTCAGCATATATGGGATGACTTGAGAAGAGCAAGGGACCCTTCTCAAAAAAACCTGAAATCTGGAAGTCTTGTGATTCCTACAGGATGATGTAAAAAAGACGTTTACCCCAGTTACACCCAGGGTTTAGCAGTGGGAAATATGCTCAACTTTAAGGTTGCCATCTCTACCTGTCCTCACATCTGTGTATCTGAGTCAGCTGCATCCTAGAAACCAGATGCCAAGGTAGAAGGTCAGGGGAGTACAGTTCAACAAAAATTATTTTGGGGATGCATTGTCCTGGCAACATTAAGTCTCCGTGGGTCATTATTATAAGCTGGCAAAATCCATCTCACCAAGCACTTTTGGACTTTATGTCTAAGAGTAACTTTCCCAGCAAAGTCCATCTTGCCATGAACTTTTGGAATTGAAGTTTTTCACACTAATACACACCTGATGAAGTGGATGGTCCTGATCCATGAAAGCTTGCAGATTGTGTAATGATTTTTAGTGGTCTATACAGGTTTTGCCTACTCCTGCATTTGCATTTTGTAATGACCACATGGCTCGCTCTTATTTCAATAAATGGGGATGTTATACTCTATATTGCTAACTGCTAAGTTTCTCCTAGGAAAAATATACTTTAAATAATAAGCAGAGTTTTATTTGGAGTGAGCAAAAAAACTATTATGGGGAATGAGGAAAAGGGAAAAGGGAAAGGTAATAAATGAGATGTTTAAACTGAAGTCTAAAAACAGCTGTAATTATATATTTACTAAATTCACACGCACTTCACCCCAGACCACTCTCCTACATCTAAACTCAAGACTAACTGTTCCCACAGAGATTATACAATGGAGTCTGTAAACACTCCTTTTCTCTGGCTATTCAAGAGTAGACTGAGTGACTGCCAATCCACTTAACATATCCTCATATTCCAAACACACCACCCAAACCCAATCAGCATTCAGCTCTTCGCCTAAAATTTATTGGTAGAGTGTGGAAATACATGGCTAAGAAACCTCTAGCTACACAGAGGAAAAAGTTCAGGGTCCTACAGAGCAGAATTATCTTCAAGTGTCCCCACAGTAGACCACCCCTTATGGACATCCTAGAAACCAGATGCCAAGGTAGAAGGTCAGGGGAGTACAGTTCAACAAAAATTATTTTGGGGATGCATTGTCCTGGCAACATTAAGTCTCCGTGGGTCATTATTATAAGCTGGCAAAATCCATCTCACCAAGCACTTTTGGACTTTATGTCTAAGAGTAACTTTCCCACACAGTAGACCACCCCTTATGGATTGGTTCTCTTCAACTGGGACTTACCGTCTCAATAACTTCCTCAGAGTAAAAGAAAGAATAAAAAGTTCCATTTACTCACAATTCTGAATAGATCAAAACAAACAACAGAGGCAGAGAGGGAACAATTGGTTGATGCTGGATTGATTCGTCCCAGTCCAGAAAGATCCCTCCCAGTCAAATCCTCTTAAAGGTGGCACATGAAGGTTTCTATATTTCCGACAAATTCCATGCCTTATCTTTTTAGCACTCTGCTAAAAAGTGCATAGCAATCTTGCATCCACAATTATATACCATATAGATATTGAGGCCAAACAAAAAGGCAAAGAGAAAGAGAGAGAGAGAGAAATTATAACTGAAGTGGCTAGAAGTTTAGTTCTGATTTTGGACAATGGGTATTTTTACTGTCAAATGAGGTGAGAAGCATGTTCAATGTAAGAGGGAATTGCTGCTCCTAGCAGCTTCTTAATGCTGTCATTCCTTCTTTCCTTTTATTTGGAAAAAATGGGGGGATAAGGACAAATTGGGGGCTGCAAAATGGCCTCGGGGGCTGTATATTGCCCACTCCTGCTGGCCACCTTGTTTAGCTATTGGACTGTTATTTGTTCTAATGTTCCCTAGTAATTGGCTTTGGTCAATTCATGAGTTATAGACATACTGGCACAACAAAACCAGAGGAAGATAGGTCTCCCTTATCTGCTCTACCCTCCACTGTCCTGGGGAATACTTTATGCTAACTCCCAATATTGAATGTGTTCAAATGTACGTGTCGGTCTTGCAACAAAATATAGCAGCGTGGAGATACATGATATTGAGGTTCTTCTTAATGAAGTGATAATTCCACTCCTTGTGTGAATGGTGCTGATTTGGCTACATATGGATTGGCCCTCACCTCTGAACTTCAGAAATGGGGCAGGGGAATAGTTTATTGATTTGATTAACAATGTTTGATTCTTTGCTTGACTGACCAATGGATTAATTTGATGAACTGCTGCTGAGTTGTCTTAATGGCTAAATGAGGACACAACCGACACGGATGTGAACATGATTTGTTTCCTGCCCAAATTAGCCAGTTCAAATGCCTGAACTAGTTATTTTATAGTACTTTTTCATTAGGTCAAGAGTTTCATCAGATAGAGGCTGTCATCAGCGAAACTTTCCAGACACCGTTTCTCTACCAGTCTTGTTGGGAGATAATTGTCACTGAAGTCAGTCTGCAGGGACTTTCAGAAGGTTTTCATCATCGGTTAACAAAAGGAAAATGGTCTCTCTGAGAAAAAAGAGAGGTCAGTATTTCAAGATCTTCCTTCATCCCCACATTATATCAAGGGAAAATCTATACAAATCCAATTGGGTAGTTTTGCTACAATATCCAAGATGAACGGGAGGTCAAACGAAGCCTCGGAAATCTATATAGAGAATAGAAGTGCTTGCTTTTTTAATCTCATTATTAATCTGCTGAATAAAAACAGGTTGTATACATTATATATTAGTTGTGGATTGCGAAATGTGATGGTTTGCTTTTTAATGCCTACATGCAATCAAAGCATACCTTATGTTCTGTTGTAGAAATGGTGTGGCTTAGATTTGAGTATTAGATACTATGTAATTTTGCACTTGTACCTTGTGCTATTTATAGCAGAGAACCAAAGTGAAAAATGCCCCTAAAATTATAACAGAATAAAACTAACCCACTTCATATGGCTT